TCATACCAACAATGATGGAAGAGCCGTTCTAACAGCAACTTTATTTGACAGTGATTTAGTTTAACAAACGCTAAACGGTATTAATCGCTCTCAACGTTTTCCCTTAACCGCTGTGCACGACGCTCTCGTCTCTTACTTTGACGTGCGTTGTAGAGCAGCAATGGCGTCGTCGTAGTTCTTCTGCGTGATTCGACCGCTTTCCAGTGCTTTCGCAAGCACATTCTTGTGATGAATATCATCCATGTTCGCTAAAATGCCGGCGACGTGTTTCATATCTTGGTCGTCCAGGTGCTTAATGATATCAGCGAGGCTCTTAAACTTAGTTCGCTCTTCATCATCGGCTTGCAAGTCGCCATCTTCCGGATCAGTGGCCCGTAGAAATCTCTTCCGGGAGTCACTACTGGCCATAGCATCGGTCGCGAAGTCGGGAGTGGTCTTCGACAAGAGCTGAGAATCGTCGGCATTCGTGAACGCTGCGACGGCACTGCTGCGGGCAAAGACCGCGACTGCAACTGCAATGTAGAACAAACTGCGCATAATGGCGGCGTGGGGGGTTTGCTGGAAAGAGGTGTTTTGTGGTCTTGAAAGCGAAATGTGAAGTGGCAACCGACAATTTTTTCATCCGTGCCTGGTTGGCCAACAATGGATGGATGTCCATCGGCTTTTATTGTTGGACCGTAATAGGACATGCAGCCCTCTCAGAATGAATTATACCAAATCACACATGAAAGTACACTATTATTAATAATTCGCTAACTACGCTGATTTAGCACACCAAAGTAAACAAAAAGTAAACATACCAGCTGTTAGCAACCTAACTGCATATAATGATGAGTCCCATGTACCTTTCAATTTTACAATATATCCGACCAACGAATGCAACAGATAATCAATGACAACTGTTAACAACGCACTGGCCATGAAAATGCAAATCATTTCTCTGTGCGCTCTCGTAAAAACATGTACTTCGAAGTAGCACAAAACAAGCTCGGAATTGTGCCGTCGTTGCGGCAGTGGAGGCAGCTTGACATGAATATCACAGAGACCTCGAGCGAGGCGAGCTATACCGTCCAGTACCTTACTATTCTCGAGTAGTTCATCGAGCCGCTATAGAATGGCACGCCGGTGCCTGTGGTAGTTGCCCTCTGCGGGAATACTTATGGTGACAAATGACGTCACCAAACGCTACAGCATTCTCTGGAATCCACGTGCGACTCGAATTGTATTATCGTCGATGTCACTGGTGCTGATAAAGAGCATCGTCGTGTCGAGATTCCGTAGCCAGCCACTGAGTGTGAGCCTAAGTTTATAGCAGGATAGTACTGCTAGTAGCAGGGTAAGTTCTCTAGATTGGGTGCATCCGTATCTTTGAATACTAGAGCTGTCGACGTTGGCGTTAAAATCTGAACTATGAAGTTGACGTCAAAAGAGTAAACGAATACTTGACGTCAGCATTTAACTATTGATGTGCAGCATGGCAGATCCCGATATTTATCGCAGCAAAATTCATTCATGTACAGGTTTTGTCATGCAATTCCAGTATAAATTTGTGCGAAAGAATGAAAACATGTACTACGTAGTACTGCACGATCAAAGCGGTCTACAGAGCAACGTTGTTGTCAGCTATGAAGACGATGTCGCGGACAGTCGTCGGGTTTAGAGAGCTAC